ATATATATATATATATATATATATATATATATAGCATCTGCAGCTTCACTGCAATCTTGTGAATGCACTGTCAAATGTTTGATATGACAAGGGGAGAACTACTGCATATGCGAATGCCTTCGCGTCTTTCTTGAGACTTCGTTAAAACAACTGAGCAGCCGTTAGAGCCGCCGCAAGAGCAACGGCCTTCAGAATAACAATAATATAAAGATGGCCGAGCCTCTCAAGGGCTTCAAGCCAAGACAGTACATTTCCCTAGGGATTCAAAATGCCTCCCTAAGGAGCGGAGCCTGAGTTCGAGCTGCCCGCCTCGCCTAAGGCGCTCTAAGCAACGCTTGCTGCTGTTGCTAGCAGCATCAACAACAAGCGCCTAACTCGTAACAGCCCCTGTTGCTGCTGCTGACAACGACAACAATTACTCGTAACAAAACCCCTGTTGCTGCGAACCACAACAACAAGTACCTGCTGAAACGTCCTGTAGCCGTTGAGGTATGCAAGGCGCAAACATTGCTCATATTAGACTATAACCCCCCTACCCTCAGCTCTTCCCCTCCATTCCCCTCCCTTTTCCTTCCACTGAAGAAGCATGTGGTTTTAAGCGGCCGCACTGGAAGGCGATGAGCTGAATCCTCTCTTGCATTCGCTGCTTTAAAAAATGTGTAACCACTACAGAAAAAGAGAGGCGCGCGCTGCAGCTGGATGCATGTGAAGGGGTCAATTCAGCGAAGCTGCTAAGGGTGACGGAAGTGTAGTATGTGGAAGGCGGTCAACGAATAGTAGCAGTATCCAATGGTCTTGCGGCGGCAGTAACTCCATGCAGGCCGCTGTTTCGCGCTCTGCTTCGGTTGCTGCTGCCTTGAACCTCGCGTCGAGGGCGAGGAGCTCTCTCCTGACACCAGGACTGATGGTTGCTCCTTCTGTAGCCTTCATCGCCTCGCCGCTTAAGAACTCAAGCATCATCATCTTCTTGTGCATGTGTGTGGAGTCGATTTCTATCAGCCGTCGCAAGGCACTCGCCACTCTGGGGTCGGGGTACAGCTCTTTTCGCATTCTGTTGACACTCCATCGGTCAATAAATTCATCCTTCTGATCTGAGGCAGAAACTTCTGCATCATAGAGATGCCGCAGCTGATCACGCAACTCTTCTGCGTTCTCCGGCAGAGACTCTGCTATGGGGGGCAGCTGCCTGACTGTGGAGGCCATGCGGTCTGTAATGCGAAGAATCGGGTCGAAGGCATCTACGATTTCTCTTTGAAATTTGTAAATTCGCTGCCTGCTCTTTTCTCTGCGATCCAGGCTCTCCCTTGACAGCAGGGCAAAGTCGACAAAGCCCTTGACTGTCTGGGGATTGTTGCGAAGCCGCAGCTGCATGCCTTCTTCTGGGTTGTCTCCTATAAGGCTCTTCACCTCCCAGTACATCAAAGGGTCGCCGAGGTTCACTCGATCCGGCCGAACAACCCCTGGAAAGCGGGGGAGGCGCCGCACAAATATCACAATGAGCACCAGTATTATACCCCAAATAAGATGCAGCGCACTGTGAGGCTTCTCCTGTGACTTCTTCTGCTGCACAGGCACCAACGTGCGATCGTCCAGGATTCTCTGAGCCCAATCCAAGTCATGCTGCAGATCTTCAACCGGACTAAGACCGTCGCCCTCCATCTCCCCGGCAAAGGAGCCGGAGACCCCCTGCCTCTCTCCTTCGGATAAGCGCCTCAATTTCATCCCCTCTATCCAGCGATCCGCTTCAAAATCCCCCGTTTACCGCCTCCATGCATGCCCCGATAATGCCGCGGAAACGAAGGCAAGGGAGCGCCTCTGGTGTATTGCCGGGCGCTAAAGAGGGCCCGGAACTGCGAGGTATTCTCAAATGACAGAAAAATGCACATAAACAGCAAAAGGAATAATAATTATCGTCTAGGAAACGCAGGAAGCGGAGAGTCGAAACGAGGCACAGGTGGCAGCAGTGTTTGGGGCTGAAGGAAAGGAAGCCCGCATGGCGTGGCCACAGGCGCCGCTAAACAACTGATTTTTATCCTTAATAGTAGTACCAGAATTGACTTAAGTACTTGTTTTAGTGATTTATTCTTGCTTTCAGTGGGTTGGGGGGTTGCGCTACATCTCGCGCCAAGAGGCAATGATAATCTAAACAGGCAAGGAGGCTCTCGCCGTATAAATATAGCTCAGCGGGAGTTGTTAGGGAAGCGCAACTCATCCGTTACTTCCCTTTATTTGAGTAAAAAACCAAGAGATATTTACAATAATGAATCTACGTGGAAGGACCTCCATCCACCTAACCTATCTCCGGTTTCTAATGCTCCTTGGCAGCCTGTTGCGCTAGACGACGAGGCAAAATCCAATTAATAGTAGGAAGATGAACTGAAAGGATCCAGTTGAGCTGTTAAAGCGTATACTGACAAGGTTGCTAATAGGGGTGATAAGGCGTAGAGCACCAAGAGCTGCTGCTACTGTTCGTCTATGCAAATCCTGAATGCGTGTTCAGGAACGGTATGTCAGAAGCTTTGCTTTGTATATTCATACCTGCATGCGCCTAGGCCCCTGGGGGCAAAGGAAGTGTTCTATAACAATTGTCCACAACAGAGTGCGTGCATTTTGGGGTCTTTGTCTTGAAGCTGGAGTTGCAGCAATATGGGCTGCTGCAGCTCTACAGAAGCTGTTGACCCCTCTCCGCACTGTATAAGCCAGCCCCAGGCTTTTTTGCCGCAGCGCCGACGACTCCTGTAGACTGCAGGAGGCCAGTTAATATTCTTTTTAATAATATAATATTACCAAAGGTATATTATTTCGATTCTTTTGCCGCTCAGGATCGAGGGCTCCTCACAGCTTACAGAAGAAATGTTGCAACAATTGAACATCAACAAAAAAGAACAGCTGAGCCTGCACGCCTCACCTCTCCTCCAAATGAGGCAAAGCGATGCACTGCCTCGAGAAAGAGAGAGTTGCGTTCAGCACTGCGGACGCAACTTAGCTGTGTGCCTGAAGAACTCAATTTAGTAAGGTCGTTTATCGGCTCTGTGCTGCTCCTCATTCCGTTAGTTAATCTATTAATAACACATACAGGTTGACAAATATTAAAAGCCTGAACAGGTTGACAAGTAAAAGGATAAGCAGCTTTGCAGTAAAATTCATGAGGTCAACAACAACAACAACAAAGTACAAGCATCTCAACAATTCAAAACAAAAGTATCTCGAAAAATAAAGCCATGAACAGACTGCCAAAATTCTCGTGCCCCCCGGAGGCCGCGTGCATTCTAGTTTTGCTCCACAAACCACCAGACAAACGTACCTCGAAAAATAGAACCACGAACAGACTGCCAAAAGTCTCGTACTGATCAGGGCTGTCTAACTCAATATACTCCGCATGCATGTACAGTGGAAGTTGAAGTGAATACAACGCCTGTCTCTAGTGGGACTGAGAGGGCGGTGAGGGAGTCCATGCTCCCTCCGCTGCTTCCCCTCAACTCTGCATTATTTGCGTGCAAAGCAGCTACTGCGTCTGCAGCGAACGCAGTTAACAGACTCAGGCTCCCTCTTAATCCCATAGTTGCGTATATCGGTGCTCACTGAGCAACTCTATTGGAGAATGAGTGCATGCCTGTGCAGCAATAGTACTTCGGGTCCAGGGTTTAGCTCTACAGAAGATATGTGAGGGCGCTGTAGGGGCCTCCGTGCTTTATCCGCCGGTCAGTTAAGTAAGCCCCAGCTGCGATGCTGAGATCACCTGGATGGGAGGGGTCAAAGCATTTGTTCTTCGAAGTTCATTCCTAGAATCCCGCTCGCTGTATAACTTACAAATGCCATTAAAAAGGCAACGGATTGACTTCTGTTAACTTACAAATGCCATTAAAAAGGCAACGGATTCCCTTCTGTTAATGTGTATTCAGCAAACCTTTGCCAGCGAAACTTGCAGCAGACTATTGGTTGTGGTCCTATGAAAGTGTGGCTAGCAGAAACAACGCCAACTCCCACCGGTGAGCTGGGGTAACTGCTACAAGATGAGAGAGCAGCTGTGGCCTACGCAAGCTGAATTGAGATTCCTTCAATTATTTGCGCCTAATGCCTAAGATGGTCCGCGAGTACACCAACAACCGCAGCAAATGCAAGATTAAAAAGAATACATATTTCCAAAGCCTGCAATGGAATACAACAGTTTAGAACTAGGGAAAGTAACCCGAAAGAAGAACAAAATCAATCTGAGACATATGCAGAGGGAAACATCTAAAGTTGAGCAGTAACGCAAACGTGCAAAAGTGAAAGCAACGGAATGAAGTAGGGGAACCGAGGAATGGAGAAGTGAAGGCCTGTCGTTAGACAAATTCGTATCTGTCTCAAGAACCACTAAAGTGCACACGAAAGGGAACGTCAAACGCAATTGATGGTAAGCGAAAGACGCCAGCTTAGAGGGAGTCGAAGACCAGTTGGTTCAAATGAGTCGATCCAGTTGCGTGGGCGGATGCGGAGGGGTATTAGACTGTCACTATCAGCCTTGGTGGTCTCTATATTATTTTTCCGTTTTATATATGCCAGGTCTTCTTATGTTCTCCCCATCAGTGGCCGTCAGTTCACAACCCCGGCGTGTCTAATAGCGTGGGTTGCGGTCTTTTTAGCACTAGAGCAGCATTTGTGGCAATTCTAGAGCTTCCATACGAAGCAAAGTATGTTGTATCGTCATGTAGATGCTGCATTGGCACTTGGTTCGCTCGACCGATGGCAGAAGTTGGGAAGGCGACGATGTCGGCGGCGCTTGCAACAATCGAGTGGCTGCCGAGTCAACCATTGGCTCTAGAGGGAGAGGGAGGAGTGGTTTCTTCTGCGCATAAACGCACGATTTGTTTGACTTTCCAACGGATATTTGCAAAGGTTTGAGCATCAATCAATGGAATAATTCCGCTTTTCGACTTTTTTCGTGGACTGTTCAGCGCATGTGTAGGCAGCGGCTACACATGCGTTGGGCTCTAGGCCTTCTCATCGAGGCGCCCGTATCATAACAGCTCATATGATGATTTTAAGGAAGCATTAACATTTTGTCGTGGATTAGGACGTTTTTTGGGGAAGGCGGTGAGCAGGGGGTGCTGCTTGTTGTCCATGGAGCTCCGGCAGGGGAACTTTGATGGCTTGGCGAGTTCCGGCTGCAGCATTGGAGGGCGCATTGCTCCTTTTAGCGCCACATTGAGCCGAAAACTCCCTATCAGTCTCTCAAAAGAGCAAAGCAGCGCAGTTCAAGCCGCGAGTTCCGTATCCGGTAGCCGCCTGCATACACTGTTCAGCTCAGTCACGATCTGGCAATCTCGCGAGTTGTTTACGGTTACAGACCCTATTGAAGATCCCGAGTGTCTATGACTTTCACAGAAGATGCTTTAAAACTCATAATAGAGGGGACCTAACACGACTTCTCCCTGGATTCCTTCGACAGCGCGTTCCACATTTGGGTTTCCGCGCGTCCCGATGTTGGCGATTTCTTACTCTCCGTCCACACAACTAGCAGTGCTCCAAAGACGCAGGCTGTCTGCCTGCTCTGCTGCATATTTCTTCCCGGGGCACTTTACAGACGACTGCCGTCTCAACCCCAGCTTTCCAGAATGGCGTACGCCAAGGAAAACTGCGATATCGCTGCTCTCATGACGCAGCAGCGGCTACTGAGGCAGCAAGAGCAGCAGATGAAAGCGGAAGTGCTGCGGCGTTCAAGAGTCATGGCTTTTGCCCTTTGTGAAGACCGACCTCTGCCTCCCCCTCCTCCTCAGCAGCCAATTGAGAGGCGTGTTAGCCGAGCTGCTCCTTGCTACCGTGAAGGTCAGGATGGTGAAGCGGGCGTCTTTGAAGGAGGCCCCGGCTGTCCTCGCAGCTCATGGAGGAGGGTAACTCGGGGGGATGGACGGGAAGCCAGAGGCATAGCAGCAGCAGTTGCGCGTAGACAGAGCGAACTGCATCAGCAACAGAGGGAGCGACAGGAGCAGATTCTGCGGCAGCAGCGGCTTCTGCAGCAGCCATTTTCTTATGAATGTGCGATGGAAGGTCACCTCTGCAATGGCCGCGAGAATAGTCCGTACACCTTTGACCTTTCTTCTCAAAAGTGTTTCCAGGGGCTATCGCGGTTCCCTCGATTCGCAACAGCCCCTATGGCGTGGACGGGGGAAGCGAAACAGGGGTTGTCACGCGCAGAGAAGCGGCAGCTGACGCGCGTTAGCCCGTGCTCGTTGCCTGCAGCTGGCATGCCGAGTGGAGGCAGCAGGAGGTCAGAAGATGAGGGCTGTCCAACCCGCCAGCGGCGCCAAGTCCTCCCTGACTACGCAGCCGCAGCGGAAGCGTCTTCCCCTTTGTTGCCTGCGAATGAAGGCTGGCTGTTCTCTGGGGCTCCAAGAGAGGGTTCGAGGCAGATTGGCTCGAATCCTTCACCCTCTGGCGATTATGCGGAGGGTGCTCCCGGCGCTCCCCCAGGCTTCTGCGTACCCTCAACGCTGCCGCCGGCCCTTCACCTTGAGCCAGAGGTATTTGGTTGTATGTACGCAAGGCCACCGCAGCTGGAAAGCGGTGCTGAGGAAGTTCTGCCTGCGGGCCTTCCCTCGCAACACTGGACGCGCAACGGAAGCAACAACGCCGCTGTCAGCCCCTCACACGTAGTGTGGAGTGACTTGCAAAGCAATCGACAAGAAAAGCAGCATAGGGAGAGACAGACAGCGCAGCAAGCTGAGAAGCAAGGAGCAGCCCCGTTCAGAAGACAGCCGGCTGGCTTCACTGCAGAAGTTGCAGCGGGGAAACCGTCGTCAGAGCTGGCTTGCGGAATTTGGGGTTTCCGGCAATCGCTGCGTGCGCCTGAGGACATTAAGACAAGTGTAGGCAGGCAGGCAGCACATACGCGAAGCTCAGCAGCCAGGAGCGCCCTGAACACAGACGCAAAGCTCCAACTTAATGCTGCTAGCGCGACTGTCGGGGACGACGAGGAAACCCTCAGGCGGCTGGGGGTAAGCTTCTCCCCAAGGGAGTTGTTGTTCTTCCGGAAGCAGCCAAATGTGAGGGGAGCTCAGAAGAGGACAGTTTCCGGGAGAAGAAGTCATAGTTGCAAGCCCACAGGAACAGGGAGAGCAGCAGCTGAGGTGCCGCTCAAACGAAGGGGCTGCGAAGGCGCAGACCCCCCCGCCCTTTCAGCCGTGAAGTCAGATATCTGTGCCCTTCCTTCTTGGATGCAAGCCTACGGGGTGTCGACAAGCAGTGCCACTCCTCCTACCCTACAGCGCGTGGGAGCACAGCGCCGCTTTCCATCTTCGGGCTGCTCCGCCATTTTGCGTGGGCGGCAGCCCCAAGAATGGCCTGCGGACTGTTTGGGAGATCACAGCGTCGCTGGCTGGGAGGAAGAGGAATGGGGGATGCCTTGTGGGTGCAGGTGCTGCCGCCTAAGAGGAGCACCGGCGTCAGCAGTACCAGAGGGGGGCCTAGCAAGCCCTGCCGATCTGCCGTGCTGCTGCTGCCCGTCTTGTAGTGGGTGGCGCATGCAGGCTGGGAGTCCCCCAGGTGACGCGAAACCAGTATATGGAGAGAACGACACTCACCAGAAGGATGCGGGGGCTGCAGGTGCGGAAAGTAGATGTTCCCGCTGTGGCAAGTGGTCATTGATGGCTCCCACTGGACGGCATCCAGCTCATCAAGACCCTACCCCCGTCAAGTTAAAAGACCGCCTCTCTCTGGAACAGGCCGCTTCCCTTTGCCCAGCCTGCGCGACTTACCTGGCATGTGAACGCGAGAAAGCAGAGGCGGCGCCGCCCTCGGGGCCTGGGGCTACAGGCGCAGGCCAGAAAGCCAGCAAACCTGATACGGGGAATGCTTCTGTTGGCGGCGATCATACACCGGAAGACCACTACTCTGCCTCAGGCGTGCAAGAGTCCTCGTTCCGTTCAACCCCATTTGCTCACCGGAGAAGCGCCTCCAAAGGTTCAAACTCCAGAGCGGAACAAGTGGGGGACGCTGGCGCTGCTGCCACAGCAGCTGGCAGCCGATGCAGCCAGGTGGTGGCGGGAGAGGTAACCAGCCAGAAGAGGAGAAGTGTTGTTGCGGGGAAGAGATCGGATCATAACAATAGGTTGTCAGTAGCCAAACAGCTCTGCGCCTTTTCAAAGGGGCCTCCTGAGCCCAACAGTTTGTGGGAAAATCCCCGCATCGCATCCAAAATATGCCGATATCTGTCGCTTTCGAAGTTGCTGCTTGTTCGGCGCTGCAACAAGACGTTGCTGCAGGCAGCGCAGTACCGCATGCGCTTTATCTTGTACAACTCTCTCTTTGTGCTGATGCACCAAGAACAAGGAACATCTGCAGCACAGCCAGTGAAGATGGAAGGGCTGCACTGCCCTCTCTCAGCAGCGGCCCTCATCCAGCTATTGGGACTTCAGCAGAACGAAGTGGAAGAAGTTCAGTGAGTATTTAGACTATTTCTCCATTTGCTCATCTTTCGGTTTTTGTTGGGCGCCTGAACATTTTTGCCACCTCACTGCACTGCTAGCGATATTATTTTCTTGTTTGATGACAAACTGCAGAGGTACTTTTGTGCTGCGGGAATGCTGAAATCTGCAGAGCAGGGAACTTGCCGCCTGCCTGCCCTCCCGAAGCTGCAACTCCGCGTATGCGAGATGTTGCAGCGGCCATACTTCGATCACTGGCTGAGATAAAGGCATCAAAGGAAGCGAAACCTCCCCCAAAGCTCAACGCTGCCCAGGGGCAGCCACTAGCGCGCAAGCAGCTGACGCGGCCAGCTGAGCCACCCCCAGCAGTCAGGAAAGACCTTCCACCTGCAGCAAGACGATACTCGGTGACGAGAGCGGATATTGAGGAGCAGCAGCTGCTCTTAGATGCGCACATGGCAGAACAGCAGGCACACGAAGAGGCATACCTGAAGATAATGCAGGATCAGATGGATCGGCCGGCGAACCTCGGCTACGACGAAGCAGCAGGGCCAGTGGCTTCTCCTTGTGTATTATCGTTTGATCAACGGTGAGACGCATCACAGAAGGCATGTTGCTATGTCAGCATAGAGTCTCTGGAAATGTCAGGCGCCCGAATCCTTTGACCCTGGCATCTTAAAATGCATGTAATTAACGTGCATAGTATTTTATACCTGTTATATATATTCATTTACATATATATATAATATGTAATGCTGCTTTGAACTTACAGCCTGTTTCTTGAGTGCGTTGCGGGGCCTGTAGTAAAGACGGTTGTCACACTATCGAACATATTGCCCGTTGCTGCCTTGTGGACACTGCACACTTCCTGGGGTGTCTACAGACGACTTGAAGTAAGTCTGCATGCCACTCTTCGCTTAATTGTAGCATCCTGGCTGTATGTCGGTGCCTTCTTCTCAGCATCGCGGGGACGCCGGAACCGGCGACGTTGAGAAGAGTGCGGCATGCATTCCTTAAGCTCTGGAACTACGATGATGATTCTTTTCGGTAAGCTCAGTACGCGGACAAGTATTAGGGATCTCCGGGGGCACTAAGCTATCACATGTTCTCTGCATTTGGTTAATGGGCTATGCCCTCAACACCGCTTGGTGCCGGATTGACAGCAAGATGTGCATGCCTTACAGACCAATTGCCATTATAGGAGAGTTTTCATTTGAAGGTAATTCAACTGTGCTGCTGCGAGTGACTGCAGGCAGGCACTGGTTCGAGCAACAACCGCCTCGTATCCGACGTGGTTGTTTGACGTTTCTGCTTTGCTGCTTCGGGCCGTATTTCAGCTTTGTTGTAATTCGCTTTCCGCACCTCCACTTAAAGATTTGATTCCCATGTTCTCCCCCAAGCGCCGCCCACCGACGAAGGTCGAGGTGCCGTGCAGATCTGACAGCTACTTATGGGCCAAGATGGCACGCATCTCGGGGTATGCGATGCACCTTGTTATCGACCAAGCCTGGCCACCTTTAAGAGACCCTGTGGTTCGCCTAGTAGCTCAGCCGTTTATCTCTCCGGATGTGTTGATGAGGGGGGCAGGAGTTGATCCGCACACACTGTATGAGGCTGCAGCACGAGGCGCTGGAGTGACTCCTTTGGTTCTACGGCCTCCTGTAGTGGATTCACTGGAAATAAAAATGTCGAAAATTTCCCCTGAATTCATTTCGGAATTCCTAGAGTATGGACGGCAGCAGCAACTCATACACTCTCCAGAACGTCAGCGTTCACTCCATGGGGGCGTTCGCCAGTTCAAGGCTTCTTCAGAAATCATCTTGATGATGGATCTGTACGAGTGGCTGGCCGCGGTATTGACGCACATGCAAAACACGGAAGCATCTACCTTAATGCATGCAGCTTCATCCGCTGGTGCTGCTGGAGTCCCGACGCGTAATGAAATCAAACCAGCAATCCCAAGAGCGCGTGGTAGGCTAAGTCGTGATGCTTAAACTCTGCTGCTGAAATTTGCTATACATTGCTGCCGAAAACTGATGATGGCCTTACCCAGTACATAATAAATGAATTTTAATGTACGAGATCTTTTCATTTTTTAATTTTGAGGCAAAAAGTAAAAATTCTAGTTGTGCAGGCGGTCTTCATATCGTGAGCGGTGGAACCAGTAGATGGGAATTATTGAAGATATAATCGGAGTATAAACATCAATATGCCGGGATATCGTGATATGTTAAGATATTGTTATACACTTGGAAACCCTTCCTGACAACTGGGTGTATGAATCCTCACGAGAAGTGCATTCGAACCGCAGTAGTAAGCACAGTCTATATAGACACAGAGATATCATCTACAATGAAAAATAAACATTAATATAAAGCCCAAAGTACGGGGTGCCTGTTGGGGACGTGCGTTGACTGCAGGACCTGCCCCACGACAGATTCGGAGTCCCTCGAAGATGCGAACTGCATCAACACTTCCTCGAGGCCCGCATCCTGTGCGATCTTCATCACCTGCTGTTGAGGATCGTTCCCGACTTTGTTCAAGAAAGCTGCAGAGAGGAGCGATTGGCCCCACGGATGTAAGGCACTGACTGACGCCTGCGACAAGCCAGAGTGTAGTCGGCGTATTTTCGTAAGCCAATAGCTTAGGCATGTTGCGAGGAGAGTGAGATAAGGATTAACAAAAAGAAGAAAGCGGGTGATTGTGAGATTGCACAGGCTAAAGTTCTACGAGACCTCATAGAAGAACAAGGTGTCATTCTTCGCGAAGTCTGCCGCCTACTTCAAGCAATCAAAACGCAAAGCGTCCGTACAGCGACTTAGTGGCATAAATATACTCGTTCCTCTTGCCCAAACGAGCCAGTTCGAAGTTCGAATGCAGGAATACGTTAAATGCTGTGTTTAAAGATGTTGTTGACGTGACCCCAAATTTGTTCTTTAGTGCCGAATGTTTACTGGATTTGGAGCACTGCATGGGCATTAACCCCCGCGCTAAACGGTTGTGCATGCATTGCAATTGTAGTTCAGTCTAAAACTATTAGATATCAACAACAACTGAGATGCGGCATTTGTGACTCCGCTTGAAGACTAGTGGGATGAAGAGTCTAAAAAAAGATGTTCTGTATTATACTCAGTCTTCACTTCGTAAGAGCAGTGATGGTATAATACCCGACCAGTTCTACAGATGAAACACTATGGATATATATATGATATATATCATGAATGAAGCGCAGAAGCGCAAGCCTTTCAGAGATTGCGAAGCAACTAGTGTCTCACAGCCTAGGATGAGTTAAATCGCGGAGGCATTCAAAGGAAGCTAGATGAGAAAGAGCAAAACGTCCAGCATGGCATAAATGCAATAAACAGAACTCCGTAAGACAAGGGGAATTCCCATGATCAATGAGACGCCGACGCGACCCCCTGTCCCCGCTTGTCGCCCTCTCGCCACTCGTACACACTGAATTTAAAGCATGCAGAAAATATCTTTTTGCATACGCATTAACTGCCTGTCCTGTTTTTATTGATTTTGTCCATTCAAAGCAGTTCCACTAAAGTATGATAGTAGAAAAGGACCAGCAATTAGTGCGGGACAAGGCGTTTTGAACCATCTACCCCGCCCCCATTTCTAAAACACACGAGACTTCCATCAAGCCTTAAGCGACTTTAGAATAGTAATAATATTAATAATATCGAAACATTGAGAAGCTCATGCAGAGAGAGAGGAAATGCCAACAACTTGCTAACCCCACACGTTCAGCTGGGAATCGGTTGAACTGCACCCTTTCGATGGCTTGCATTGGCTTTCACCGTTTCCTTCGGTTATTTCCCTTCACCTTCCATATTTTATTGATCCTTCTGGGGAATCTTAAAGTTTATGATGCTGTGCAACGTCTACGCCTGTCGGGTGGGTGATAAGCCCCAGTGGACCACTGGAGCGTCACATGAGTTCGGGTAGTTCGGCCCGATTCAATAGATCCAAAGCGGTAGCAGTGTTATTATAGAAAGGTTCCTGTGGGGACTTTGACATTTTGTTGCGGTTTTAGACGAATAGAGCAGACCTCAGCCGTCCACTCTGCCCATCATACAGCAGCCATTGCGCGCATTTGCTGTTTCAGCGCAGCCCATCTTTTGCTTCGTTACGCATATGCACGGATGTGTTTTGCTTAAGGAGGTGATTTTCAGTGTATATTTAACTCCATCCAGCGTCTCCGTAAGGTAATTACGACCGACGGCCTGAGGCTATGCTCATCTGCGTCTGTTGGACTGTAGAGTGCAGATCCGTGGATTTGACAATTCATCCGTGCGTGCGCCGAATGAAGTCGGACGTTTACCATCACTGAGGTTTTGAGAAGAAGTTTTCCGTTCGCGTGGAGGGAGTACGCGCCTGTGCATGTTCAGTGATGAGGACCGAAACCAGTCAACGTGCGTCCCAAAGTCGTTTGGACTTTCTGCATGCATTCATATATCTGTGTATAAATGCATTCAGATGCTTATAGCGGTGCACTGAGGCTTGGACGTTGGTTTATTCTACACCCTAGTTGGAGGGGACATGCAGTTCAGCGCAACAAACGAGCAACCACAGCCAGACCCAGCAGGTGCGATATTTTTGATGGCGGGGAGTTCGTTGTCCCCAACTAAAACCACCTCAGTAGTTAGCAACTCTACTGTCAACGGCACACAATTGGTATTGGTTGTTGTACAACCGCCGTTTGTATGAATGATCAGACTGAAGTTTTGCAGATTTCCACTGAAGAAGGTTACCAAGGAGCTGGAGAACCGCAAATCAGTTTTTCGTTTGTTTTCGCATTAACAAGAGTTGCGAAGGAGGTGGTTTTGGGGCAATTGAGCAACGCATCGTAGTGTTTGGTCTCTGAGAAAATGGAGAAGCTGGCAAGGAGTGAATTGACGAACTTGAAGCAAAAAGAGGTGGCAACTTCGAGGCCTCGCGAGGAGTTTAAACGAAGACTGCGGACGTTGCTACAACAGGAGCAGCAGTGTACAAAAAGAGCATTCTTGCAGCAGCAGCTATTTCAACCACAAATAAGAAAACAACCGAATAATCGGGAGATGCTCCTGCTAAACCTTAATCCCCCCCTACCGTCCTCAAGGTCAGTTAGCCTTATGAGCCAAGAAACACTTCAGTACCAAACCTTTTTGAGTGGCGTGCCTTGTAAGACAAGCAACAGAAGATCTTCTGCAATTGTCCGCAGGCTGAGTTCCTCCCGGAAAATAAAACGTGAGCTGGCGGATGCTGAGGGACGGCCAGCTTTCATTCTTCGTGGTGAAGTAGCAGAGGGTGTTTATTCATTGAGTGAGGAAAAAACCACAGAGCTTCGTCACTCGGCTGTTCACACAGCAAGCAACGATTTGCATTCACCTAATGGGAGCGCGTTGGTGAGGGGCACCAAGTGTCCGACCAACAAGTCTGAGTTGGGTTCTTCGGCTGCCATGGTGCGGGAGTACATTACTATTTCAGACAGCAGCGAAGACAGCAGCAGGTGCAGCTCGCCTCCACCGCGTGTAAATAAGCAGAAACAAGAACAAGGAGACGGGAATAGGGACCTCTCCATGCATCGCAGGACGACTCCAAAGGGACTGCTGAGGGTGCAACCACCGTTAAGCAACAGTAGCCCTGCTTCTTGCAAAAGAAGAGGCAACAGCCAAGACTCACGCATCAGGTATAACGACTTCAGCAGAGGCTATCGAGCGGAAAGGTCGGGTGGAGGGAAGCGGCGTAGCAGGCTTTTGATGAGCCCTTCGTTTCCTCTACCGGCCCCAGGGGGAAACGCAGGAAGTGTGCAGGAGTTCTGTTTATCTCGCGCGCGGCATGTCTCCTCAAGAGATGCACGTTGTAGTCCTTGTGTACGAGTAGAAGAAGTAGGAGTAGCTACACAGCCACTAGCGCCAGAACATATGCTGGAGGTCAGTGAGGAGCATTTGCCGGATCCAAAGACCCCGCATGAGGAAGGCCCTGGGATTCCTGGGATCCCTGCAGCAGCAGAAGGCAGGAGCCCTAAAATAATTCCATCAGCTGTCTCAGATTGGCCAGAATGCGTCGTGAGTATGCTGGGCCCCGATGTGTTTAATTTGTTGAAGGAAGAACCGTGAGTTAGAATTTTCTATGGCTAAAGCAACCCTTTCTTCTTCAAGCCGTTGGGGACTACCTGCATGCAAACTTGAAGCGATTTGCTGTTGTGGATTGGTCCGTCTATTTTGTTTGTTACTCAGTGGGCTCGTGCATGCAACGAGCAAGACGTCAGGGATGTCTTTGTTTCACCACATTCTGCGACGCCCAAGCAAAGATGATGAACAAGTGCTTGAGCTGCTCAAGTGCATTTATGAAGACAAGCCCTTGCGGGAACGCGTTTCCTTACCTTCGTTGTATGCTCTCAAGTGCGACAAGGGTCAAACTCTGGCTTTCTATGCCGCGGCCTATGGCCATGCCAAATGCCTCAAGTGGATTCTCGAGCAAATTGGTGCGTGCGCCGCATGTATGTATGCATGCATAAAATGCATGGATGCATGTGAAATAATCGTGTAACGCCACGTTTCCGTGACAGCATGCTCTTTGTATATCGGACGCGACAGCATAAGCTCCTAAGATATAAAAGCAGTGAGCACATGGATGCGCGAGTGGTTAGTGAGGATCAAGTGTCCCGTCAGGTTTCTGAGAGTCGTGGCACCAAAAGGGCGACCGAGCATCTAGATAAGCCGGCTTCTGTGCCTGTCTGGCAGTATGCTTGCCAATGCAGGTGGCGCGAGCCGTCAGAGGCAGTTTCTTGACATTCGCGACAGTGAGGGGGACACTCCGTTGCACTACGCGGTAAAGAATGGCCACGTGAATGTGATAGAGCTGCTATTGCATACCGTGCCAGAGATGCTCAACAAGCAACGCAACAACGGCCAAACGCCTCTCTTCGACGCAATTGAACGGCCTGCGATTGTGCGGCTTCTTCTGCGTCGTGTAAGCGCATGCATAAGCAGACATGGTGCCGATGATGCACGCGTTTGTTTCGGCACTGTCCCTTGAAGTTTAGATACCTCGTGTTTGTGGGAGGAAATGAGTAAAGGAAACATTTTCGTATCTATCCACATGTGTGACGCTGTCTGAAACTGCAAAGGTGCCATTTGCGTTTTCTGTGCCCAGGGAGCTGATCCTCGCGTGAAATGCAATAGGGGTTTGACAGCACTTGAAACAGCTGCTGATGAACTAAGATGGAAACGTCTATGCTCGAGCCGCAGCTGCAAGACGCTGCCGAAACGCCTCTCCTTTTCAGTGCATCTGTTGAAGAAAGCTGCAGGTGAGCTCAGCAAAGGAGGCTCTAGCGGCAGCAATAGAAGTGATGAAAGCGCTTCAAAAAGTAGTACTGTAAGCACCGCGGGATCATCTTATCAATCAAAGCCTGCAGAAGCCAACATGATGAATGCAGCAGTCGACGACGAAAGGTTTTATCGAGATCAACGCGTTGACTGTCAGTTAGAATCGCACCCGGTAGCCAATGCGGAATGTTCAAAAGGTGGAATTCCAGCCTCACCAAGTGGCGCTGCTGATTGGCAGCAGTCTGACAGCAGCACAGACAGCAGCAACCGCATCAGACCCTCCATTGATGGAGACACTTGAACACCAGTTTGGGATGCTCTGTAAACCATGCGAGACTGTAGGGATCTGTAGCATTATTCCGTGGTGACTCAGAAAGGGTGCTTATCACCACTCTCTTACGACAATCCCACCGAGGAGGCAGCTCTCAAAAGCATTAAACAGACGGCCTTTCTGGAACTTGCAGAGGTACACGGCAAGCCATGTGCTGTCACCAGGGAGCTGTGAAGGCACCCGTCGCGAAGATCGATTGTTTTTGGAGGGACCTGCAAGGCCGTCGTGTTATGCAGCAAATATACGGAAGCTGCCAGAACGGGAAGCTTATCTGGAATATCATCTGTACTGGTTCGCGAGAGTCTTTACTAATAAGTTTGCGTGGCATGATAACGCATATCTATCTTGGCCGCAAGCTGCCACTAATCTCAATGCAGCAATTCTACACACTTACGCAGTTTGCGTGCAGTATTGCTAACCTCGAAGTTTACAGGTTATTTGCTTTTCAGATTGGAAAGATGGGCAGACGTGCTTGTTTGCTTTGAAAGGGTAATTAAAGCAAGAAGCGTCCGTGCAGGATATACTGCAGAGGGTCCCTTCGTGAGCAGCATTTATAAGTGCCTTAGTGAAGCTCTATATTTACGAATATAGAGAAAGAAAATACCGACCCTCACAAAGGAACAGCGGACAGTACCGTCAAACGTGTTTGCTGCTGGCTGTAGACGCCTATTGCACGGTGGCAGTGCAAGCGTTTCCACTGAAATACCCAATGATAAGTGATATTATTGGCGCAAGATTCAAACACAGGTTTATTCTTGAAGTTGAAGAAGCATCAACTTCGTCCAGTTCTGGGGACCTCTTGAGCATGGCCCCCGGCATACGTATTTTCTTGTTCGTGAATTGCCAGGAATTGTCCTTCTGAAAATTCAAAGGTGCGTACGTGGCGTACACACCGCCACGCACTTGGGGAGAGGAATGGCATGCATGGCACTGCCTGATACTGACTGCCTGCAAGCAGGAGGGCTAGAAGAGTTCAAAAATGCTGATCCAGCTTTCTCCGTGCATGTGCGCATATCCTTGAGCATATCGTAAATGCTTGTTTCTTGGACTGCAGCTTTTTCTGCGCGTAAATCGCCTCTAAGACTCCAATAAGGGGGCCCCATGCAGACAGCCGCGTGCGCTGTAAGTGCACCAAATACTTCGCACTCTCGGGTTTCAAGAACACCATGGTTTTCCCAAACGCGTATGTGCCTGAACAGGTAGACAAACTGTTGATACCCAAATCACCCCAGCTTGAACCCCAATACAAATAGGAAGTGCATCAGCATCTCAGCTCATGAAAAGCGGGGGCAATACCAACAGCGGGATACCAACAAACAAACAGCAGGAACAGAACGCACCGCTCTGCAGGTTTGCCGAGGCAATAATTGCCTCTGTAGCGGCTCTCTTGTCCGCCATTTGTGCCGCGCTCAACTCGATGAATTGGAACTGCTCCACAAATTCCTGAAGATTCGCGCGGCACATAACAATGGGCTAGCAGCTGCAACCTACAGCCAGGGTGGGTCAAGATATGGTGCTCTCGTTTCTCCGTTTACATTCACTGAGGCAGCACGTGCAAATGGGAATTGGATTCAGCGAGGGTTGCCCCCTACACACCTGGAACTGCCGCCGATAGGTGTATCCCAGTTGACGCAGTTGCAGCGCTTCGATTATAGAGAGCGCATGTAACTGGATGAGAACTTTGCTCTGTACCCACAGCAATGGCTTTTTCTCTTCGTTGGGCTTTACACACCTGCGCAGGCCGACCGACAAAAGAAAACCGAGGTACACACTCCTCATGATGAAAAACGCCTCCACCATACTAATCTCCGCGTGTGTCATGCCATGGGAGGTGTTGCTCCCTTCGGTGGCATTCACCTGATGAAGTGGGCTTCTGTTGATCCTATGAGTGTCATAAGTTTACTGAGCTGCGCTAAGAACTGAGACCCGATCAACGACCCCTTCGCCATCTTCCCTCTTTCAACCTTCACCCCTTCAAAGAGAGCGCGCACAACCGGGTTTCCCGAGGCCTGTTCATCAAGCAGAGCTCACAACGACAGCCACAGCATTTCTAAATCAGCACTCCTTGGCTATGGGCTCCACCAGACGCAGCTCACAAAGCTGAACCACATCTACGTCTGGGCGTTTCGGTCCTCTGCACGCACTCTCGCCACTGGAGGACAGAAGCATTATCGTGCGCACCTGCACGACATCAACCATCTCTGGCTTTAGAACGTCCTTATTCTTGAAGACGAATCCTTGTGCGTTGTACTTGATGGTCCCGATGGAGTGTTTTATGAGAAATGCGCTATGAGCGTCAAGTTTGGCAGGCACAAACCTCGAGGATGATTTCAACTTCGTGCAACACGCGCTAACAAGCTTCTCGTCGTTGCCACCTGCAAACAAACAAACAAGCGTTTTTCCTCTGTTCAACAATGGCATGAGCAAAAACAATCCGAAAATGGCAAAGTAGGTGAATGGTCTGTTTCGTGTTTACCGGGCGCCAAGCACTGGTCTTCGAGAATGCTGAGGATGGAATTTCCCTTGTCAATCAACACGCTTATTACGTCATTGTTGGTAGTGAACTCGATCTCCTTAGCGGTAATCCCTTCGCTTTTGTAGAGAGCGCTTTCTCGTGCAAACACCACCTCAATAAACGTGCTCTGAAGGAACCAAAACGGAACAGCTCGGAGTGGCACTGGAGAAATGCAGCTCCAGTGTATATGTATATATATGTACGCACAGGGATAGAATGGAACTTGTCAAAGAGAAATTGAGAAGCAAATACTACTTCGTAGGTGCATCATGTTGTTCAGAGCAGTACAACTGCATGCAGCAAAGCAAGCTGCACACTGGCACTTACCTGAAGCATTTCGTTGGTGATGTTGATAAACAACTGCTCGAGGGAGTTGTTCTGGAAGACTTCAAAGCCGAAGATGTCAAGAAGCCCTGAAATACCAGCCGCCAAAAAGTGGCCCCACTAGATGAATTCCTCCTTGTTTGCTCTCAGCAGGGAGGAGAGGTAAGTTGAACACGCAGCACTGCGAATTGCATTCTCACCCATAAATGTTTGAAATCCTCCTGGGGGTTCTATAGTGGAGTTAAGCGCTTGAATAATCCACAAGAACAACTTCTCGTACACTGCTTTCGCCAGAGAACCACGCAGCATGTCAGAGTCTTCGACTGTCCAGCGTCCTTCAATTTTGTTGTTTCCTGGGAATACAACACAATATTCATCAGCAGCACAAAACTGCCTCTCCTCACAACAATGATTTATTCGTTGCGAGAATGCGTGTGGAGCTTGCAGGTACATGTTTGCGACAACAACGCAGCAACAGGACGCGAAGCACAATGCCTGCTCCTTCTCGTTTTAACAAAGTTCTCAAGATTGGGTGGCGGCAGGTTGGAAGGAAGACGGATTACCAGCGTATGTGACCTTTATAGTCAATTCGTTCATGACGCGCTCAGAGTCCAAAAACAAAAGGTCGCAGGCATCCTTCAACACGCGAGCACTCTCCCCGGCTATGACAGCAGCATTCTCGACCCCGCCTTCTTTTTTGCCTGAAAGGACAACGACAGCCAATACGCAGTATTTAGAATTCACCAATGGGTTTTATTATTATTATTTTGGTATAAATATAACTACATATTGTCTTTAGGAGTACATTCAGTAGACAAAACACGCCGAGCTGTATGAAAAACAAGCACCGGGGCGAGACGGTTCATATTGAAAACTGCCACATAGCAAGCACATCAAAATATGAAGGAGTCAACAGCAGGCGAACTTACCGACAGTTGCCACATTGCCGAGCAGCAAAACTCCCGACACCACAGACCAAATGGTGTGCCGCTGCTCCTCCTTCAGGCCCATGGACTCGAAGGCTTTCACCACGGATTCAAATTCACTGAGATCGTCAACACCTTGAGATGCACAAGGGACAACAGATAGCAGAGGTCAAAGATAAGCAGGTCAGACAAACATCGGCTCTGTGTTGCAGATACCCACCCAGGAACCATAGAGAGAACCTCCGCTACAGCGTCATAGTTGTCCTTAGCTAGGCGGCTTTAACAAGCTTACCGGGAGCGTCTACACAGTGTGGATTCAGAAACTGGTACTTGCTGCAGTCTAGCAACTTGTAACGTTCCTTCATTTGCGGTGTACTTCCTTTGAGCATTTGGTAAAATATATGGTACGAGCGCTCGTTCTGGTCCTGAAAACCAGCAAACGAACAATACGCTCGCGAAAAACATTCGGAGCCCTTCCGCGGCAATACCCTGCTTCATCATTGGCTATTCCTTGTCCCTATAGAAGCCCCTGCGCTCATTTCTAAAGGATCAAGTGCGCTGCGACCCGTTGCAGCGGCGCTGCTTCTATAGAAACATGGGCTTGTATGAAGTCCTGTTATCTACTACGCCCGTACTTGAGTCAAAATTCTGCTTTTCTCCAGGAGAAACGCAAGAACAGAGCCGTGGCGAATGCCCCCTCCCTTGGCCACATCGAGTTGCATAAAACGCCCAAACCGGCTGCTGTTGTTGTTGCGGACTGTTTTAGCATTACCGAAGGCCTGATGAAACAGAATGCAACACAAAACGAAAGATCCATCTACAAAGAGCTCAAAGAAAGAAACAATAACCCTAGAACTCCTCTTCTCGGCATGCACTCCACACCATGTGCAGAGCTATCTCCTCCGGCCAAAAGTGACTCACCTCCAGCACAGGATTTGCTGCCATGATGGCCTGCTGTATCCGCGCATCCAAATTCCCCGACTTCGCGCTGGCGAAGTACTTCATCAGTTGTTTTGTCGTTTCTGTTTTTCCAGCTCCAGATTCTCCTGATACGACAATTGTTTGACTCTTCCTCACCCCGTGGAGATTCTCTACTGCACGCCGCGATATTTGAAATATGTGGGGCGGCAGTTTATCGCAGTCGGCTGCGTCGCGGTACTGGGCAATCACTTCATCTGTTCCGTTGCGCAGATCCTGGAAAGGGTTGATGGCTACAATCAATGGCTCGACTGCAGTGTACATCACCTTGTTCATGTACCGAACGCGCAAGAAATCCAAGACGCAAGGAATGTTCTGATGGGGGATCGTGCCGATGTCGTTGTAAGCCATGGGGTCTAAGTTTGAATTTGCATTAAACACTTGATTGATCGGAGCCTCAAACACCTGCAGCACAGAGCATGCACAAGCACACCACTCATGATACCACGGGGTGCAAAGAACTTCCTGTTGCGCAGCTGTGTTAGCAGCAAAGGGCACACGGGGGTGATGTGTAACCGCCAGCGGCCAAAGAAAAAACGGCAGGAAAAGGTCCTGAGTTGTGATGGTATACTTCGTTGGTGGGAGGTTCCTTCTGCTTCAACATGAGCTTGTTGGCTGTAGATGACGGCTCAACGGAACACAAAGCAAACATCAGATCCGGATCATTTTTTACTGCGGGTGCATTCATTGCCCACACCTCAAGTTTGGCAAGTGGGGCATCACTCTCCATATACACAACCTGCAATAAAAAACAAACACCAGCAGATGCAGCTGGGATTAAGCGTCTTTCTTCGTCTGACGGGCACACCTAGGTAGCATGAATCTTTACAAGCTGGTATCCTCTCCTTCCCCCTTCTTCTGCCCCCCAGTGCGTTAGTACGTCTCAAACAAGTGGCTTTGGCACATATCACTAGAGAAAAACAACGTGCACACAACTCACTGCAGAACCCTTCTTAACCAGCGAGGCCGCAGTTTTGGCCTCGGACTCCTGTTTGTCTGCCATCTTCTTGGACGCAGGCACTCAGAAACTGGCCGCTTGAGGGAGGTAGCCAAATAGAAGGATAATGCGGAGTGGTCTAAGCGGAAAACTCACGACATTCAGTGCAAGGTCTGTATAGGCCTGAAGAGCTCGAGGCGATGAACCCTGCTATGCAAGTCTCCCCAAGAAGCAGCACCCCCGGCGAGAAGGCAGCGCCTAGCTTGACAAACTTAGATAAACCAAGCTTCAAAAGCTTGGATCTAATACAAGGGCCACGGATTGTGGATCAACTCACCGACAGCCCCGGCCAAGAGGGCCCGCGTTGAGCCTGGTAGTGCTCGGGCGCGACCGCTTGCTGTGTGTGAAGCCTCTTGAGAAGTCCTTTCAGCTGCTGTGAGCTGAGAACATTGCAGTTTTTGGGAAAAGGTGATGCGGAAGAGTTGTCGCTTTCACGCAGTGCCAACGACGCTAGTAATGCAGTGTCAGCCCCACTGTGGTCCGTTCATCGGGCGCATATCCCATACCACCGTGTCAAGCGGAACGACGACTCTAAATGTCCCCTTCAAAGCTTACTTGCAATCCCTTTATCGACTAAAACAAACGAAAATTGTAAATCCGCTCCAAATGGCAAGGTGCCTGCACTTCAAGAGGGCAGACCGCTGGGCCAAATCGACGGTTGCGTTAACCGCTGCAGCTGAGAGAAGCGGAATTCGTGTAGCCGAGTGCTGCGGAAGCGCTGAATTTGGATCATCATTTGCCCTTTACTTTGGAGAAACTAGTTAGTTTTTGTGTTTAATATTCGCGTTCCACGCTAGCCCGTTCCCCCATAGTGCAAACAGCTTTGGCGCCATCCGTTCAATACGCAGGTTCGTGCATATCCCTCTCAACTATCTTTTCAAAGCTGTTTAGGCATTACACCCAAGCGTATCTGTCTAACCTGCGTCTACGCATCAAAAGCGTATGTGCATGCCTTCCCACAGACCTAGCTAGCTAGCTGCTCATCATAGTCCCGCATTTACGTAATCGACGAGAACTTGAGGAGCAAATTCTGCACGACGAAAGAACTCGTGGAGGGCCTAGCACCTGGCTTGAAGCCATCGGATAGACGATAGTTGGTTTGTCAGGTTCTCGGTACCTTCTTCCACAGAATGTGGATTGCTGTTCATTCGAAAGTGGGAAGAGCCAATAAGGAACGATAAATGGGCTTCTTCCCGGAAATGTAGATCCACCAGCATTCACCTATTTTTGTTTCATCCTCCTCGGTATTTAGACAGAGGAAAATAATGGAACCTTGGCTAGACTTCAGGCCAGGCAGCCTAGAGCGCTTACCCCATTATTACCTTTTGTCGGGCCTCCGCCGTGTTTGAATTGCTGCAATTTGCTGCTTTTGTTTGCACATTGAACCTGAACAGCCTAAAAAAAGGAGTTACTGGAGGGGAAACCGCACATTCATAAAGTTGGATGAAAACGGAAACCTGTATTCGTTTCAGAACTGCGATAAACCACTAAGATCTTCTGAATTCAGCTACCCCAGTGGGAATCTGGAAGAAACGGCAATCAGGTGCTGCACCATCAACTCAAAATGCCTTTCACTTCGTGCAGTTTAACTGGGCCAGTCAGTTCAACGCATTATCGCGGCACTCAGAATTCCCGAACCGACGAAGGCTGGTATAATCTGAAAGTGTTTGGTCAACACTTTCAGATTGATTGAAGACGCATTCCCTCATCTCTTGGGGGCAGATATGCCTTACCCTCGCGTCTGATGGCAGAAGTTGACTATGTGTATCGCAGTCCTTGTAAAACCATCACAGCTCGTGTAGGATAAAATTTAGGCGGCCAGTGCATGCAACTCCAGTCATTTATGAATGCTCCTACTGCCTGCCCCCGTCTATGTCACTTCCCTATTCTCAGTATCCCGTTTGCCCGGTACTCAATAAAGACAGGCGGGGTTATTTCGCTTTAAGTGAGCAAGGCGGCTGGCGTTGTGGGTACATCAGTAGAAGAGACCGGTGAGGTTCAAATCTGTCATGAGAAGAAAATCAACTACTGGGGTTTTGAACCTCTCATTCCTCATGCATGTGTTTCCGAGGCTGCAACTTGAGGCGCCGCTGAAGGGTTCAAAAATAAACCGTTTCTGCTTCGTCGGAGCAAGCAATAATAACAGTTGAGCCGCATGGTGTAGCAAATGCTGCAGGTTCATTCTCATAAGTGGCGGGTGGGCAGAGGAGCAGCATTTCGTCAACCTAGATGTCAAGCTACAAACTACACTTGGTAAAGCCTAAGCGAAAAACCCTACGCCACAGGCTCTGGTGAGCCCCAGAATTGCGGACAGTTGTGGATTTTGGTAATCTGTGCCTGCCCTGTCATCCCCTTTCAACTAAAATACATTCTTAAACACCACCAGCACTTGGGTATTTCGTAAAGCCAGCGATTTATCATATCTCACCCAACTGCTTCCTCCTGTATATATATATCTAAATGACGCTCCCAGAGCAATCAGGTGGAGCAGTAGAGTACCAAACCATCTTTTTGTGACATATGCATACATGTGTCTGCGCCTGCTCTTCACTAAACGTTTAACTGTGCATAACTCAGGCAGTTTTGTCCCTCTTAAGGGTAATAAAGCCGCATGATTTACGATCCTCAGATGTTGAGAGAGCGAAATTTTCGAGGCCTTCACACGCCGCCTGTGACGAGAGCCCTCGATATTAGCCGGGGTCCTTCATGTGCTGCAGCAGAGTCAATACAATTCTACAAAAAGTATTTGGACTCGCCCTGGGAGCTGTGAAATATAGGCCGGTGGCGGATTTATATGGTGTCAAGAGTTGCAGAAGCACAACTTCTTGCTGCACCTCCTGTTCCAAGGGAGAAGCCACCCATGCAAGCCCCCTATGCTGCATGCACTAACACTGTGTGTTGCATGGTCTGGTCGAAGTTGGTACATGAACGCTTGCCGTGTATGGGTAGTGTGCACGCACGCAGAAGTACAACAACAGTCTAAAGTGTCAATACAAACAGGAAAAGGGGGGTGGGGCAGCTTTGCTTGAAAGTACCTCTGCAGCATCAGTTGCAAGGAGGTGCGTTGCAACACGTATCATATTCAGCCACCATTCGACCGGCTGTAGGCCCTTGGGACGCTGTGTCCAGAACGTGGGGGGGGGAGGGAAGTTTAACCAGTGGTCTCTTAGGAAATACAGCATCGAGCTTTTTGACTCGGTTGCCGCTCGCAAGGGCCCTAGGATTATGACCGGGGACTCGTTAGCACGCTACGAGGCCCCCAAGGCGGCGACGCTTGTGCGCCTGCCTATACAGCTGAGCGTTTTGCGTTGACAGAAAAGACAAAAACATAAAAAGAAAAACCCGCATACAAGCCGGAAGTATCGATAGGGACATATTTATATCAGATGAGTAACAGCGAACAGCAGAACTGCATGCAACAGCACGCGTGCTTTCGAATCGAGGCCAACGCAATCACCAAGCCTGTAAAAAATTCCTTTTGCACCACCCATCCACATCAATAAGAAAATACTGTAGTTAATTCAACTTTAATTAATTAATAAACTAACGCACTACTAGGCAGGCGCCTAACCGACAAAACCAGGCAGCACAGGGAACTGCTGCCACCCGCCAGTCCCACACGCAGCCCCTTTGCGCTGCCGCCAGCTGCTGGACAGGCGTCCCCACGTTTCGTGAGCTGTTGCTGCACTGATAATCCTGCAGTTTGTCTATCGCAGCCGTTCTTTCTGTTCTAATTAGGGAGAAGTCTGGCAAAAAGATTTTGCCTTTCAAGTTCGCCTTTCGGTTCTAGCCGCCCCCTCTCCGTCGCCCGCTTTCGAAAATGGTACGCAGCGCATTGAGAGCGCCCTGTGTAACACGATGTATTGAGATGCTTGTATTTCGTTTCATGATCTTCATGCTTTTAATTGTTGAATTTATTTTAGTGTATTCCAACAAAACTGTCTTTCGACGAGTTCCCGATGCATGGAGACGGCCGTCGCCGTCGTGCTGTAACTTGTGGGGGGCGTGTTTCCACCGGTGCATTCATTGACAGTGGGACGATGCAGTTTATCCTGTGGGTTTGAAGGCCAATTAAGGGGCTCTTTATTGCAATTACGGGCCATATAGGTGGCAGTAGAGTTTCAGTTTGCCTTCTTCATGTGGGGCTTCGCAGAAAGTCAGCGGGTGGTGTTCCTGCATGCAGCGGATGTGCCGCATGCACCTTTTCTCTGCTTTGAAGATGGGTCATGCAAGCTAAAAAAGCAAGTTTTGAGTTGCATCTTGTTGGTAGTGAGATTCCGTGAGCATCAGTTTCCAGGATGTGCCCCTGTTTGTGTCTTGTTTCAGGTGAATTTTTCAGTGGACCAGATGCGCGAGATTATGGGCAATCCTAAGAATATTAGGAATATGTCCGTTATCGCCCACGTCGACCACGGAAAGAGTACTTTGACGGATTCTTTGGTGTGCAAGGCTGGTATCATTTCCGAGAAGGCATCCGGAACAGCGCGTTTCACCGACACGCGCGCGGATGAACAGGAGCGTTGCATTACAATTAAAAGTACGGGTATTTCTCTGTACTTCAAGCAGGATTTAGACGATGGGAAGGGCGAGCAGGAGTTCCTGATCAACCTTATCGACTCCCCGGGACACGTCGACTTCAGTTCTGAGGTCACTGCCGCGCTTCGTGTTACTGATGGTGCTCTTGTTGTCGTGGATTCCGTTGATGGTGTTTGCGTGCAAACAAAGACGGTGCTGCGCCAGGCATTGCAGGAGAGAATCCGACCTGTGCTGCACGTGAACAAGGTAGATCGCGCACTTCTGGAGTTGCAAATGGACCCCGAGGAGATCTACCTGACCTTTGAGCGCAACGTGGAGAACGTAAACGTCATTATTTCGACTTGCAGCGATGAGAACATCGGCGACATGCAAGTGTTCCCCGAAAAAGGAACGGTGTCCTTCGGCTCTGGTCTACACGGATGGGCATTCACCATCGAGAAATTCGCAAAGTTGTATGCGGCCAAATTCGACGTGCCTAAGGAGAAGATGATGCAGCGGCTCTGGGGCAACAACTTCTACAACGCAAAGGAGAAGAAGTGGACACGGACTCAGACTGAAGGCTCTCAGCGTGCTTTCTGCCAGTTCATCATGGACCCCATCTGCAAGCTCTTCTCCACCATCATGAACGACCAGAAGGACAAATACGAAAAAATGCTGACGACTCTTGGGATCGAATTGAAGGTTCGCTTCGCACCATGGCTTCGGCATAGACCGACTAGGACCCGTATATATATGTATATGTATATATATATGTATATATACATTGCTGCCTCTCCGTGCTTTTGCATGCAGGGTGATGACAAGGACCTGACTGGCAAGGCGCTTCTGAAGCGCGTGATGCAGCTATGGCTGCCAGCTGGTGACTGCTTGCTGGAAATGATCGTCCGTCATTTGCCTTCTCCTTGGGAGGCTCAGAAGTACCGTGTTGACACTCTGTACGAAGGTCCGAAGGACGACGAGGCGGCGAACGGCATTCGTAACTGCGACCCCAACGCACCCCTGATGATGTACGTGAGCAAAATGGTGCCCACATCAGACAAAGGGCGGTTCTACGCCTTCGGTCGTGTGTTCTCCGGCACTGTCGCAACCGGCCAGAAGGTGCGCATTCAGGGCCCCTACTACGTACCTGGGGAGAAGACGGATTTGACTATCAAAACTATCCAACGTACAGTCATCATGATGGGCAAGTACGTTGAACAGGTGCAGGATGTGCCTTGTGGCAACACCTGCTGCCTTGTTGGTGTTGACAAGTTCTTGCTCAAGTCTGGAACCCTCACTACTTATGACCAAGCACACAACATCGCCGACATGAAGTACTCCGTCTCGCCTGTCGTGCGTGTCGCGGTGAAACCGAAAGATATGAAGGAGCTGCCGAAGCTTGTTGAAGGATTGAAGCGTCTGTCGAAGTCCGACCCTCTGGTCGTTTGCACAACTGAGGAAAGCGGAGAGCACATCATTGCTGGGTGCGGTGAGCTGCACGTGGAGATTTGCCTCAAGGATCTCAAGGAGGAATACGCCCAGATCGACATCATCGTCTCGGACCCCGTTGTGTCGTACCGTGAGACAGTCACAGCTCCTTCGTCTATGACGTGCCTGTCAAAGTCGCCTAACAAGCACAATAGGCTGTACATGACAGCAGAGCCTCTTCCGGAGGGTCTGCCTGAGGCAATCGAGACCGGAAAGATAAGCTCAAAGGATGGGCCCAAGGAACGCGCCAACGAGTTGAGCGAAAAATTCGACTTCGACAAAAACCACGCGATGAAAATCTGGTGCTTCGGCCCCGAAACCTCTGGCCCGAATATCCTCGTCGATATGACGGTTGGTGTGCAGTACCTCAACGAAATCAAGGACCACTGCAACTCTGCCTTCCAGTGGGCAAGCAAGGAAGGTGTGCTATGCGAGGAGAACATGCGTGGTATCCGCTTCAATCTGACAGACGTCACCATGCACGCTGATGCTATTCACAGGGGCGCTGGTCAAATCATGCCCACTTGCCGTCGTGTGCTGTACGCCGCACAGCTGGTCTCACAGCCTCGCCTTCAGGAGCCTATGTTCTTGGTGGACATTTCCGTGCCTCGCGACTCTATGGAAGGCATTGACACTGTGTTGTTCATGCGTCGTGGACACGTGTTCGAGGAGGACAGCAAGCCAGGAAATCCTCTCGTGGTGCTTCGCGCATACCTCCCCGTCGCCGAGTCCTTCGGGTTCACCACCGCCCTGCGTGCTGCGACTTCGGGCCAGGCCTTCCCTCAGTGCGTGTTCGATCACTGGAGTTGCCTCAACGGCGACCCGCTTGAGAAGGGCAGCAAGATGGAGGCTCTCGTGCAGGGCATCCGAACGAGGAAGCACTTGAAACCTGAAATTCCCCCTCTCGACCACTACTACGACAAGCTGTAATCGGATGCGTACGTCCATACGCGATTAGAAAGGAAGAACATTGAAGATTGGTCTGCAGAGATGATATGCCTGCATGTATTCTTGTAGACCGCCATCGCGTACTGCATTGCAAGCGTTAATGTGGAATAGCATTGGGCACAATTCTTCGAGAATTCGCCGTTGTCTCTCCCACATCACACTTGATGCGAGAGCAACGATTTTCGCCGTATTGTGCAAGCGGCGATACTTTAATTGGTGCTGCGGTGAAGCAGCGCGTGATAACTTCCACTGATTCCCGAAAATTGATATTACTTCTTTACAGCTACGGGGCGTCTGTATGATGATTCGCTAGTCACGGGCTCTCAGGTAGCGGTCACGGCTCTCCAGACAGCTATCCACGTGCAAGTGCCGGTAGTAATAGTTGCAGTTTCACTGGTTTAAAAAAGCTCTAGTAATCGAAGGTGTATGCGCGTTCGAAAACCGCACTCGGGAGTTCCCTGGGCGCCTTTGCGGCGTCAGAGGAGGGTCCAACTGCAGATTTGCAGAAGTTTGGTTTTTTGATGCTGTGGGACTACAGTTGAGCACATAGCATTTAAGCTGAGCAACAGTTTGCTCAGCACGCAGTTACATGATGGTGCACATGCCGCCTTTCTTCTCCTGCGCAGCGCATGCATACAACAACAGCGTCATCATCGTGTTGCGTAGAAGGCTTCACAACAGCTTACCTTAGGTTTTTGAGATGCTGAGAGAACAGGAAGCGAGCCCAGCCACGTTATTCACCCACCTTACGGTCCTTCTGAACGCCTGCTGGCCACCAGCAAGCATAGACATCGCATTCACAGCCTTCACCTGGTGGCGATCCTACTAGTGATGCTTCGCACACTGCAGCGGCTGGAGTGCAAAGGGGTTGTGTATTTTCTCTCGAGGAGTTGTTGCGGACTTGCCCGTCAATGCAACGGATACCATCTGCAAGAAGATTGAGGATGGTATATACAGCTAGAGTGTGCAGTGGGCGGCCTACAGTTTAACACTCTGGTGGATCACTGTACTTGCATACCGCAACTATGATGCGTCCTACCAGAATTGGTCGTGGATTCCGAATGCCACTTCATCTTCACCCCCTTCGAAGCGCTCGACGAAAGCTGTCGAAACAGCGAATTTCGCTTCCGTTCAGACTTGCTTGACTGGAGCAGTTCACAGTTGTGGTCCTCCTTCAGTCGGTGTTTAATGCAGACCTCTACCTGACAATGAGGGCACTTAATAGCTGAAATCGGCGTAAGCCGCTGCAAGCCCAAACACAAAAAGTTAGACAAGTGCAGCTTGCAACACAGACAATCTTCATGCTGCATCCAGATGCTAAGGGGACTAGCATAAATAAACAATACGCGGATCAGTGCACTTAATCAGGGCCCCTGAAACCTTTCCACCGTTTGGAATCATACAACGGCGGAATTAATGAGCAAAATAGTAAAAAAAGGCAAATGACCAGAACATATCGAGTCGATAAACTGAAGAGGTACTAAACCCAGCGCAAGAACATAATGTCTTGTAGAAGCCCCTAGCTTCTGTTAGCTTACTTCTCTGCATCCTTTCACTGGGCAATGCCTCCCCTTTCTTGTTTGCTCCCTCTGACCCCGCAGCTCCGGCCTGCACTGAGGACGGTGGCGCCCTGCTGCTCCTTCTTCTGTTTCTAACTCTTTCTGGGGAAGCAACCACAGAAAAGAGGAGTGAATGCATCGCGAAAAGTAAAGTATGTCTAAGTGTTAAAGCAAAGCTACCCTGTATGTGTTCAGTACTTAAAAATAAATACTGCTGGTCTGCAGCTGCTCACGAGCGTTATGACTTCGAGGCACTCGGGGCAGATGTACACCCGACGGTCTCCAGCATTTTTCCTTGGACACGAGTGATCATCTGGTAGGTAGTGTTCTAAGCAGAACTGAGCAGTAATAAAAAACAAAAAGTGGAACGCTGCATAGGTAGAGGGAGAATTCACTCACCATCGAGTAGCCAGCAGCAAGGACTACACTCCAGCAGAGGCAGAGTCTGTAGAAAAGCCAGCTGAAAGCTGCTACAACACGACTGCTGCAAGTGCACCAGCTAATAAGCTGATACATCTCCTACCACTTTGCCGCATTTGTTGCAGTTGAAGGGGAGGAAGTCGCGCTGCCTGCACAAGGAGTTGCTACACGTCAACCCCTTGTCGGACAATACAGCCATGTTTAGCTTCAGAATACCATGCAGACTACACCAAAAGGCTTAAGGCAGCGGAGACCTGCCTTTTGTGCGAACCACTCGCTCTGACTTCCGAGCGTTGCTTCTCTAGCGCAGCAGCAGCAGCACCGGCTGCTCCTTGGGGACGCAGGAGCAGAGCTTCTGCCTTCAGTTCTCGGCGGGGCATAAAATGCTTGTTTTGCTGTTGAGTACGTTCAGGTTTCCGGCTCAAGGGAACGACACTGGTTGTGTTTGTTCACTGAAGTGGCTGAGTGAAGGGGAGGAGCCCTCCGTCCTCTTCCGAGAGCATCTTCTGATCCAAGTTAGACACGACTGAGGCGAGGAAAAATACCAAGAAGTGAAAAATTAAAGGCTAGAGATCGACACTCTGACTGAGAAGGTTTCGGCGCATCGGAATTACCGCTCCTCGTCCCGCCTGCAGCTCGTGGCAGTCTTCGCTGACCGCAATCCGTAGCAAGTCGAATTAAATTACAAATTTCAGTCAATTTGTCACCGCAAGGTGATTCATGACTCAAAGCAGCACAGATGATCGTCCTACCTACGCTGGAGGAGCCTATGCAGCATTAGCATGCAAGAAGGCACAACAACGCGTAGTGGAAGTCGTTGGAAACATCCGTTGAATGTCTGGCTATTTTCCCGCACCATAAACCACAACAAAATCCTCTCATTCTGATTGAGGCCGCTTTCTTTGAATTGCAGGAATAAACAGTTCAAAAAGTTCATGAAGGTGCTTACATATTCTCAACGAGGGACCGAAACGAACGAAAACCTTCGTGTGAGCTGTTGTTGCATGAACCGAGACGATGCAGTACAAGTACCGCGGTGCATTGCAAGAACCTACGCAAAAAGTTTAATCTGTATTGTGCACAATTGCTGGGAGACTTGAAGCTGTTTTTGAGCCAATGAATTTTATATTTTTTGGGGGGTTTCCGATGAAACGTCTGGTGTTTTGAATGGCGGTGTTCATCAGCAACGGAACGCGTTCGACTAACTAGGCGCTAGAAACACTAAAGCACCCACCCTACGTGGTACTAAAGAGGATCTGCTGGCCTGTGCAGTATTATTTCCACTGACGTCAACAAATATAGGCGCTTTTTATTGGATAGGATGCTCCCAGACCATCACGTCGGCGTGCGTCCTGTGCAGTGCACGTACACTTGAGGCTTCCTGCAGCGGTTAGAAGGCTGCAATACTTGCAACAAGCATTAAGACTCATTGTCTTGGATTGGTGACCATTCGAGAGTTTAGAACCAAGCTTGCAAATTCTACTTGAAATCCCTGTCTTGCAAAGCCCTTTCCTGACATCGAGTCTCATTCGAATCCAACATACTCAAAATGCGTTTTGCATTCTTCTTCCACTGTTTTCTGATTGTTGTGGTCATGGAGCGTGTGCTGTGTGGTGGGGAGCCACGGGTGCACTCTGAACTGAATCGCATAACTTGTCCCAACCACACACGTTCGGTATGTTCTAAATGATTCTTGTTGGATGAAACTTCATCCTAATTGCCAGCGATCGCAGTCATGTGCAGGCGAAAACATCTGCCTTCATCCTTGCAACCGGTGAGTAGCAGCAGTTTTTTCACTTCAATTTTGTTTTCATGAACGACGACTTCATTCGCTACAGGCACTTTTTGCCAACACAACGGCCAACATTCTTTTACGAAAACGCCCCCTCTGACCCTGGTAGGTGCACTTAAGTAATTCCACACGATTTCTCTCTTAGGATATTCGAACAGAGACGAAGCTGTGGATAGAGGTTGTCCCGTCATCTGAGGCGAAGCAGCTCTATTTCAACCAAGTCTCTTCAGGAGAACCTCTCTACAAGCACACACTGACTCCTGGAAGCTCAGGCAGGATTGAGCTTGGCCCCATTCCTGAACCAGGTCCGGGCATTCAGAAACTTTGAACATTGAAGCATTTGTCATCACTTGCGTCTCTTACAGGTTCCTACAACATCATTATGTTCAAGGTTAGAGACAACAAAGCTATTGCGCCTTTCATGGTTGCTATTTCAACCAAATGCAGGACAAGAGGACTTTCGATGGAGTGCTGAGCGTTGAAAAATTCTGCATCAGCAAATTTTGAATATGCGAGGACGAAGATAATGAGCGTCGCTGTGTATCATCAGTTGCTGCGCACGAGCAGAGAAATGTGACACTCATTTCCCGAAGCACCAAATTCAAAGTCAAGCCTGGAGTTGGCTGTTCATCGCATCACCGGGAGGCCCTTGAGATATCTACCAGCAAGAATAATAAATGACTGAAGGGACCCACCACATATGCGACAGCCCCACTAGATTATATATATATAATATATATATATGTATAAGTTCTTTTGCCCCAACTACGACACCTGCAGCCAACAAACCAAGTATATTCTGTTTCGGTGCAGCAAACCACTCCCTAAGCTGCATCGCGTTTCGTGTTTTGCGTCGCGGGTAGACGTAGGTGGCAGTGGTGTCCAGCCAGGAGTTTATCAATTTTTTCTAGATGCACGGTTGCTTACTATTGGCTTATGAATGCAGTTAATTATTCAAGGGAACGATGCCTCTTGCTGCACATTGGTGCCGCCAGAATCACGTTGAGGTGGTCTAGTTATCGCCGCATTTGTAATCTTGAAAATAAAGTTTGAGTTTTATAGTGCTCTATTGTCCAGTCAAGGTGGAGAATGGCCACGGCTCCACAGCTCGCATCTGTGTGGAAGGCACAAAACAGAATTGGGCTCGGAACACCACTACTAGTCATGGGGGAATTCAGTTGTGGACGTTTTGTTGCTTAGTAAGTTCAATAAAGAATGCTTTCTTTTCGTGGCTCCGCTGCCAAACTTATATTGAAGTAGCGCCAATCTCGAGAACTTCAAGCAAAACGAAAGTTCCAGGCTACAACTGCGACATCACAATCTGATTTGTATCGACAATTGTTCAGAGGTCTCGGATTCAGACACTGCGCATCGCACCATAAAAATAAATGATATTAAACAACATCGTACAGATAAATAAAATTTCAACTCAAAAACTTGGTTTTATGGATTTCCATTGCAGGAGCTCCCATAAAGCATAGCAAGCCAGCGCATGCGTAGGTGGTTTGTGTGTGGCCCATGTTTGGGTCGGTGGTTCTGAAATGGGGGATTCGGCGTTTTTGCAGTTTATAGTTCTGCCCAAAACAAGAGAAATATTTGCAAACATCTTGTGATAGACGTGGGCTGAGGCGTATGGTGAATAGCAGCCTGTTGCAGAACCCTCTGTGTCTGGGGGCGGCGTGCTGCAGCTGCGTTAAGCCTTGAGCGTCCTGCGTCAATTCCCATAAATATACTGAAATAATAATTGTCTGTACTCTCGAGATCTGATACCGCCACAACTTCTACCTTTCACCAACTCGTCGTACAGCCCGAACGAAGCCGTTTCCCAGGGTGCCAACAACAGAAGAATCCTCTGTATGCCATCTGATGCTTCGGTTGGTTTGTTTGGCGGTTACACTGGAATAAGAAAGTGACTGCACCCTGAATGGCCACAGCAATGATCAAGACAGCTCACGACTCCAGGCCATGGGTGGAGAAGTAGTACGTAATCTTAATGATACAATGCATAATATAAAAATCTAAGATCATTATGTTGCTGGAGTGTGTGAAGCAAGACAACGCAAACCGATGATATCTTATTGTCTCCCAAGGGAAACCTTTTTGCTTTTTCTGCCCTGCAGTCGCCCGCGAAAAATAGCGGAGGTTTCACAGCAGGCTGAGGCGAAGCGCCTACTCTCCCGCATTATTGAGACGGGCAATGTGAGGCATTCATATCTTTTTGGTTGTGTATTTGTGTTGGTTTTGCTAAGTGTCTCTGCAGGACTTTAAAAGAAGTGTTGTCTTATGCCGTACTTGCATTTTTGATTTCCAACAGAAATTTGTGTGCAGTTGATGGTGCGATCAGATGCCTCATCTGCTCTTCTTCGGTCCTCCTGGATCGGGAAAGACATCAGCAGCGTTGGCGCTTGTGAAGGAACTTTTTGGGTTCGTTTCTGCACATTGTCTTCTTTTCTAGCAAACTCCTGTCATATCTTCGTGTACAGTCAACACGCCCGGCACACCTGCAACAACGCAGCTATTCCTCTCTCCCCATTCTACACTTTGTCTACCGCCTGTGCTGGCGCTGCTTGTGCGGTGTTCGTGGCAGGCGAGAAGATGCTAAGAGCCGCCTGCTGGAGTTGAATGCTTCAGATGAAAGAGGTGCGGCGGCATTTGTTGGCTTGTTTTCTTAGCATCATCAGGGAGCAAAAGGGCCTCCCCCCTGTACGTTTCTGCAATACGCACTTTTGGTTGTTTGTTTACCCACTGCAGGCATTCGGGTTGTCCGCGAAAAGATCAAAAAGTACACCAGGACAAATACACCCAAGGGGAAGATCAACCCAGAGACGGGGAGGTGCGTTTGTTGAAGCGCTTCTGTGCCGTTTGCATCTCAGGTTTTTGATGACTCTGCATATATATATATATGTGTATGCGCTTAAAATACATTAACATATTAATGATTTTTGAACATATATTTCTATTTTTCCTAGCGTCGCTCTCGTATTAATGTGCTTTGTCTGCAGAGAAATGCCCCCTTGGAAAATCGTTATACTCGACGAAGCGGACATGATGACGCCTGATGCGCAGGCGGCCTTGAGACGCATCATGGAGGCGTTTGCAAAAAATACCCGATTTATTATCATTTGTAATTATATACACAAGTGGGCCACATTCATTGCGCGCAGAGGTGTACATAGAGCCGCTGACTCTTATTTTTTTACGAAGCCGCATGCACACTCCACGCATTTTACAGCATTTGCAAGAATGTACATGGATGCGCTGCACAATTGTAAATCGGCTTATTGTAATCACCTACAGCATTCTCTCCTGCTGCTCCTGAACTGTAAATATCTTTTCTTCTTGTGTGCCTCCGTTCTTGTATTGCATGCATGCATGCATACAAAAAACAATCCGTTTACACTTTGTTGTGTTAGTGAGATTTATTGTTGCAGGATTATCGACCCTCTCTTCAGCAGATGTTCTCCCCATCGCTTTGAACCTGTGCGCTGACTCTTGATTTGGAGTAGACGTATTTCAATTAAGGCTATTCTTTATTTATTATTCATGCAGTAAAATATTACATCCATATTTTTCAGATGTCAGGCTGCCCTTTTTACCTTCCTGGAACCTGCGCTGTTTTCGCTAGGCGTAAATGTAACTTATCAATGCACAAGGCCTCAATATATGGTAAAGGGCGCTCATTGCCTGATTTAATTCATCTACTACATTTCATTCGTTTAAATATATTGCTTTTCAGGTGTCTCCCGATGCCCAAGTGGAGAGGCTGAAGATGATCTGCAAGGCAGAAAATCTGAACGTTGACGAGGCAGCGCTCGTGCGGCTGATGAATTTAACTTCTGGTGATTTACGGCGAGCTGTGAATCTTCTACAGGTTGGCATATTGCACATTCACTGCACGCAGGAGGGCCTGCTGGGTGAAGGGGGGCAGTTCTGTTCTCTAGTGTAGATTAGCCTACGCGGGCCTGGTTGCGTGATTATGATGATTGATAATAATTGATTATTATTATTATTATTGTTGTTGTTGTTGAACAATGTGGCGAATGCTGTGCTGCAGTCAGCAGCGGGTATTCACCAGAAGATCACGGAAGACGCGATTCTTGAAGTTGCTGTCGTAAGGCCTCTTTTCTGTCTCACCGCATGCACTATACATATATATGTATATATAACGTTAACCTCACTAACGCACCATACATAACAAGCTGTATACACTGTAGATGCTATATATACATATGTATAGTTGATGCAACTGGTAGGTTAAGCGCTTGAGTGCATGGTGGCTTTAGCTGTTCACTGTGCGAATTTAGGATTTTCCGTTTCTGCATGTTTTGTTTTCCTTCTCGTTTCCTCAGCATCCGCCCTCTTACGTCGTTCAAAGCGTCCTTAATGCCTGCGCGACTTCGCCAGAAGCGGTGCGTAGCACTACTGCCCTTTTGTGGATTGCACACAGCATTTGTAGATGCTTTAAGATGCATTAGTACGATATTTCCGTATGTATGAACACCATTGTGTATGGATCATCTGCTGTACGCCGAGATATATTTAGGGGGATACTCGTAGCTCCACATACTGTTTCAGAAGTAAATACCCCAGTCTCAGTTAGTGCTCAGCTTCACGCGCGGAGCAGCGTGGGTAATAATAAAATTATTACGATTATTTTCACTGTATTACTGTCTATTATTATATTCCCTCATCTGCAAAGCGGGGCAATTTATTCTTTCTTGTTGTTGAATGGCTTCGAGATGTTTCGTGTTGTTCTTTAGGTGAACGAAATTGCAGAAGAAATCACAAATCAGGGATGGGACGTGGCGCTGCTGCTGCAGGAGGCGAGTGCAGCACAACCTCGTACCTAGAGTATTTATTCTTAATATTAAAACCCGAATTTTGACAGAATAGTAGGAAAATTATTCAGTCATTTGTATCCAAAACGAATAACTACGGGGCAAATACTCCACCCGCCAATCTAGGAGTGATCAATAGCTCGCAGTTAATAATATTTATTTATTTTCTTCGTTCTTTGTGTCTGGCCAGAAGTTTGCTAGTAGTAGTTCAATAAAGAGGAGGTGGTTGAGGCTGTGACAGCACAGCGTTGGTTGGCGTCTCCCTTAACCACTGCGTTCAGGAGTCTTATTGGCGTTTGTGCAATTGTCTTCGCTTGCTTGCCGCTCAGATGATATATATATCTGTTTGTGAGGGCGTCTGGCTGTGCAGATGGTTGCAGAAGTTGTTAAATCCAACGCTCTTTCCGATTTGCAGAAGGCGTCGATCCTCCACGAACTCGGATCAACAGAGTTCGCCGTCTTGCAGGGTAAACAAACATAGGCAGCCTGCAATTCATATTCCTTCGTGAATACTTTATTTTGTATCTACAAATATATGAACATATGTGAGTGTGGGCGTGTATGTACTAAATACAAATGCATATATATATACAGAGAGAGAGAGAGACGGCATGCTGTGCTGGCGGCTTTTTGTTGAAGCCTCTCCCCCATCTGATTTGTTTGGTGTGTTTGTGTTGCCGACTGTCAGGGGCGAATTCTTTGCTGCAGCTTCTGTCAGTTTGCTTGAAGATTCAGGCGGTGGTGCTGCAAGCCTGACTGCATTGTCTCAAAGAAAGAAGCGGCTTGCGTAGAATGAACCTCCCGTGATTTGCTGCCTGTCGTTTTCGAGCTTGTCACGAGACGAGACGAACAAAAACAACAGCACCAGCAGCAATAACAACAGGTTTCTTGAGTTTAGGGTTTAGGGTTGTATTCCGACTGAACCGAGGCATTATCTGCCTTAAAACATTTAGGGGGAATACATCTTAAAACTGCACCAGTGGCCCCTGTAAGCAGCGAAGAGATGTCCATAGTCATTATCCCAGAATTTCGCCAGAGGCAGCAGAGGCCCCCAGGGCAGTTGCGAGTAATTCGATGCACAGAAGATATTTAAGCCATGTGGAACTGTTCGCTTACATCTTCTCCTTGCGTTGCAAATTTGGACATATATATATATATATATACATCTGTATACGTCATACATATTATATATGTTTAGTACAAAGACGTGCACAGTATTCGCGCTTTGCTGAGCGGCATCTTCTAGGAAACACCAAAATATCTTTAAAACATTGTTGCCATTCTATGAGGCCTAAATCCCACGAGATCTTAGTGAGGAGAAAAAGCAAGCACTGCCTGCTGCTCGCAAGTTGTTCTTATCTCACTCAGCAGACGACGCATCATCTGCGTAATGATGAGTTGGAATTATGTTTCGATTGATTTGTGCGATGAGGCAACTACGGCAACTGTTGCTTTCGTGCATCATCAGGGCCAGTAACACCTCATACAGATGAGGTGTACACGGATACAAATCGCCAATAGTGCATGAGATCCTTTGGCCATCTCCCTTTAATTCTGTTCTTGTCGTCGCTGTCTTCGCGCGTTCAATGAATATATATACGTATATATATATATATATACATATATATATATATATACTTAGTCGCTGATTCGTGCGTAGCAAGCAGCTAACTGTAGCTGCCTCTACCAGCCTTTGCCTTAGAAAGTAGGGGGGAATCGTTCTGTGAGTGCTTGCTTATGGAGTGCTGCTCTGTACTCGGCGACTTGCTGCTTTATAATGGCCAAGCGAGAATGCACTCCGACAAAGTGCCGGTTGTCTTAGTCTGGGGGGTACGTCGCTGAACGTACG